GTACCATTCTCATTGGGTTGTATCTAATTCGTGTGCTTTTAAACAGGTGCCGACGCGGGTAGCCCAGAAATTTTTTTCTCCAAAATATATTAATATTTTAGAGAATTTTAGATATTTTTTAAAATTTTTTTTATATTTTAGAAAATATATTGATTTTTTAGAGACCTCACACCGCTATCCACCCTGAAGAGTAAAAGTTGCTTTCGGAAGTCAACGCTCGAATTTGCCTAATGATGATGACTGATGACCACAGTGTTGAGCAATTATTTTTAGCAGTCCTAATATATAATTTGTAAAAACTCGCCAAACAACGTGCTAACCCCGACATCCATCACTTATCGTTATGCGTTTTTTTTTTTAATTTTTTTTTTTTTTTTTTAAATTTCTTGTGCAACAAGTTGCTCATCATTCACCGCTAGGCGGACAATAGCGTTGACCTCTGAATTTAATTCTTGCCTTAGTCGATTACATTGCTGAGATTGTTAGTGTGTGGTTTGTAAAATAAATTGATGGCCAAAGTGCAGAGCTACGTATCTCCGTTTGCATACTTTTCGTCGTACTTGATTTATTATTTATTTTTTTTTTTTTAAAGGAAAATTAGTCGAGGTCAATTCTTAAAAACTCCTTCGATTTTTCTTCCAATTCATCAGAATATTCTGTACAAATTTCGAGCAATAAAGTTGACTTCTTTATCTTCGAAAAAATAATATAAAAGAGGAAACTTTAAATCATTGCAAAGGAGTTACGCAGTTCCCGACTTCGGTCATCTTTGATAACCCATCCGCGTATAATCGAGGCTCCTTTTCGCTTACGTCATACTTTTTTAAATAAAAAGCGATAAAATCCGGCAACAGTGTTTGTCATTGTTACAAGGGGGGTGAGAGGGGAGTCGCCAGCGTCGTCGATGATTAGTGAGGCGAATTGTCGGTAGTTGTTAGAGTGACTGTAATTAGGAGCGCGGAATGGCGCCTATGCCCTTTCGCTGACGGATTTACACGCAC